AACTCATATGCATGCGATTCTTTAACTCATGGCCCTGAAACTACTTCGGGTGTCCGGAAAGAAATCGTTTGTAAATTTGTAGCTCTTCAAGCAGTGCACTTTTCACTGCTCAGGCATTTAGATCAATACGTAATCTCCGATTTTTATATCAATCCGTTGGGAATTGCTTACAAAGCAGACTTCAAAAGACAGCATTGTAAATTCAGTGCAACGCGAGCTGTTTTCAACGATTTGGATATGGCTGAAAGCGCTGAGAACTTTCGCTTCAACGCGTTCAAGGGGTTCAAACTTTGCATTGCGGCCGCTGGAACTGGTCCCTGTGTACATCAAGTCTACTGTCTTCCGGTGGTTCAGCAGCTTCAGAGAAGCAACTGAAACCTTTTTTTTTTTTACCAGCCCCACAATAGCTGTCCAAGGTCCAAGGTCCAGACACCAGAGCTGGTGGATGGAGACTCCCAAGTATGACTACTCGAGAGCTGAATGAGGGGTTCGACGTTGGCAAGAGGTGCTCCACGTGGTGCTCACAAAATACCTGCAAAAGACTGCGCAACGCGGCATCAGTTTGGGTACCGCCCCAACAGACCGAGGACAACAAAACGGCTCGCATCAAGAGCGCCAAGCACATCCGAGGCATTTTTTCCACGGTGTGGAGGCTTTCCGCAACAAGCTCAACAAGGCCTTTTGCAACAAGCTCGTTCATTGTAACATGCAGCGGCCGCAATGCTAAGTTTGAACCCCACGAACGCTCAGCGCTTGTATTATAGCCCTATCCAAATTGGGGACCCAACCCAATCCTGCGCAGGTTTTGAAGTGTATTGTCCCCTTTCGTGATCGAAATCATTTCCTTTGTGCATGAAGTGCTTATTTTATTTTATTTTTACGTATTATTATAATTAAAGTCCATTTGAAATCCCCAAATCGTCGAAAACATTCCGCATTGCACTGAGCTTAGAGAGCTACTTTTGAGGTCTGCTTTGTAAGCATTTCTTAACGAATTGACTTGAAAATCGCAATCACAGAGATTGCATATTAATCAAAGTGCCTGAGCAATGGGAAGTGCATTGCTAACAAAACATAACAAATTTACAAAAATTCTCATTACTTTCCGGACACACGAAGTAATATGAGCCTCGAGCAACTTAGGCGTAGATTTCCTAATAGCATTGATAAATAAACCATTTGTTCCAAGTTATTCTTTTGTCCCTCCAGAATGCTTGTAGAAAGTGCTGGCCTTACTTACTTACTGCAAGCAGTATTGTCAATTTTGTCATGCAAACCAATATGGGTGAATATGGCCACCGCGATTTGGTGCGATATGGACACATCCTTCATCTCACAGTAGCACCGCACTCACCTATTGGTAGCGTCAGCTTTCTTTCATGTGGAACCTCAGGCAGCAAAAGATCATCCTATGCCCTTCTTCTGGATGCATGGATGGACGTACTGGACATCTGAACGAAACATGCAATGCACGAGGATATGCAACGCCTCTTGGACATCCGCTTCACATAATCCAGAATCTTTCGTGGCACGAAATTTGACAGGAAGTAAATATCCTTCGTACAAAATGTTATTACGGCATTCTGCAAATTTTTTGGCACTATTTATGCATACATGCAAAAACAACACAACGTAATGCAATGTAAGACCTCTTATTGGTATGCGGACAGAATCTCGAATGGACGGAATCTCGAATTCCATATTCTCGATACCTGCAATGTTCGCGCAAATGCCCACTTGATATGTATATATACCCTAGTAGTAAATAACATTGAATCAACACTAATTTAATGTTATGTGCTACTAGAGTATACGTGATTAACAACGTAATAAAACATGAACATAAAGGAAATTCGCAAAATTCTTGAATGTTTCAACACCGGATCAATGAAAGTAGGATTATTTCCAGGAATGCACATTAAAACGTGGGGAACAGGTCAGGTGAGATCAGATCAGGCATGTGGGATTATGTTGCTACTTAGCCCATGCTTTGAAGACACTCCGATGGCAATGGGATAATTGAAGTGTGACATTTGAAGTTTGGCATGAGAATGCCTGGTCACTTGCAATTATCTCGGAGATAAGGGCTCGTTGAACTCCCTACTGAGGATCACGTGAGAAAATCTTTAAATGGTGTTTTAGACAAGCTCCGAGTCAAGTATTGATTGACAACCCCTGTGGAGTATGGGGAGGAAAATAAGATGCCGTTGTTTGGAGCATTTGCAAAAAGATAATATATAAATATCATTATGGTATTGATATATTGTGGCTATTCATTTCACTTCGAGTGATGCCTGCCGGTTCCTCTTTCTAATCCCCGTTAATCCAAAGCCGCGGTCGACTTTTGTGGCTAAAGGAATCTCCGCATATGTCCCTATAAAAGCGTGCTGACGCCTCACCTCAGTCAGTCAGGATTTCGATCAGGAGTTCAAGATCATGGCCGAATTCGTCAAAAGTGACAAAGGAAACGAAGAACTCGTTCTAAACGGGTATATTTACGAACGCGATTCGCTTGGAAGCTGTGGGACCAAATGCTGGAGATGCGTCGAGGTCAAGGCAAGGGAAGAGCCATTCAAGACAGCAAGGGAATCAGAGAAGGCCGCAAGAAGCACGATTATCCAGTTTGTTCCCACACAAATTGGAGTCAAACGCGTGCTTTACGGAATCAAAGAGCGTGCGGCAACTCAAGTGGGCAATTCCACAAGCCATCGTCGCAACTTGTGTTAGGGAGACATCAATAGCAGTTCAAGGCCAGCTTCCTTCCGTCTCTGCGATGAAGAAGCAAGCCCAACGCAAACGGAGAGCAGTATCTCGTCGACCTGCAGCGCCAACGTCTAAATCACCGACTTCCAACTGGTGGAGCCATATACCTTGACCTGCAATGGTGAGCAATTTCTCCTTGAAGACACCAGCGCCAACAGCGATCGGATTTTGATCTTTGCCACTCAAAAGAATTTGAACATTCTCGCCGAATCCGACCACTGGATGGCTGATGGGACGTTCAAAACTGCCCCCAAAATGGTCCAGAGTTGAGTGAAGCGCACTCAACTCTGGACCATTCACGCGATCGAGTTCGAGACGGCTCTCCCCTTGATCTTCGCTCTGCTTCCAAACAAGTCGAAAGAGACATACGTGAAGGCCCTTCGTATCATCCGCGAGAAAAAGCCAGGTATGGATCCGAAGTCGATACTGACTGACTTCGAGCAAGCCGAAATCAACGCCTTTAAGGATGTGTTTCCGAACGCCGAAATGCGAGGATGCTTTTTTTTAATTTCAATCAAAGCATCTGGCGCAAAATTCAAGGATCAGGGGAACTGCAAGCACGATATCAAAATGCAGAAGACCCAAATTTCGCCTTCAATGTTTGAATAATCTCCGCCTTGGCATTCGTTGAAGACGTTGAAAAGGCATCCGAAGATCTGATGGAAACTCCAATTTTCAGTGCCATCCTCACTTCAAGAACGGATTATCTCGCTTCGAGATAATCCGTGGTCGGTCGACCACTGCGACGCAGTCGCACTCGCAGAGCTCCAAACTTCGACATCAAGCTCTGGAATCAATACGAATGCATTACACTTCAAGACCTTACGAAGACAAACAAGAAAATCGAAGGATGGCACAGATGTTTTGCGAGCCTTGTCGCCTCATCTCATCCAGTTGTCTAGAAATTAATCAAGAAGGAACAGAGCCTGACGAAGCTTAAGGTGAACCAATTCAATGCAGGGATGATAAGCCAAGGACGAAAGAAGTACATAACCGTGGCAGATCGAATCAAGAAAATCGTGTCCGAGTACCATCAGCGCGACTTGGATTCATACCTTGGAGGAATCGCACATAATGTAGAATATTAGGTCATGTCATATATGCACAGTTTTTCATTGTATGCCGCTTTGAACTTAAATTGCCCAATTGATTACATGACTGAAAACAAAGAACATCCAAAAAAGTTTTCTGTTCGATTTGAAATGCTTGAATTGGAGAATATTGAGATCGAGATTCTGTCCATTCGAGATTCTGGGTTTCGAGATTCTGTCCGGAACTCCTCTTATTTCACACTCGTAGCGGATGCTCTCTTTGATCGACGGTCGAGCACTCTTATTCCACCCAAAGTCTCTAGATACAGTCTCCCGATCACGTGCAATGCTACTCAGAGCCAAAAGCGTTGCAATCCTGCTCTCCGCAACAGGTCCTTGAGCCAGGCCCACTTCGCTCGTCCTCGAGGCAATAAATGCGTTTCTTCTTAGACTGCTGAGCCTCCTTTATGACGCTTCAAGGCACTTGGTACGTTCCGGCATATTTCACAAGTACTTCACCTCAATAACCTCGAGTTGTTTTTTGAGAAGTGACCATATTCCCCCAACAATAGGGGTAATATGGCCTCTTGGGACCAATTTGGAATGGATCCAAAGGCTCTATATCCATCCGGTTTTGTGCCTGCGGATTCCCGGGATTTAGTAAAGGAGATATCAACCAATATTTTTGAAACATTGTAAAAGTCAAATTCGACCGTGATGTGCCGTTAACACCAGATTTCATTTTGTAGGGCCATATTTCCCCAATCACCCTATGGCATCTCATAAAATTTCGCAAATTGGAGCAACGCATCCCGACTGTAATGCAGGGAATTTCCTAAGATTCGTTGTCCTCGGTTGCGAATGAGGTAGTTTGAAGGCGAACAATAGGGCAAACCCCATTGTTCCCTGGACCTCATACCTTGAGACTTTACGCTGTTTCTCGGAATGAAATTTCTTCTGAAAGGCTGCCGCTTCGACGACACGGACGCTTTCCAGTCGGCTGAGACCAAGGCGTTCCACCAGGTTGCCAAAAACGAGTTGCAGGCATTGTTTCAAGCTATTTTTAAACGTTGGGCAGAGTTTATCACAAGTTAAGGGCAGGATTTCGAAGGGGATCGTACAGAAACGTAGCTTTTGTGCTTAGTTCGCTCGTATGAAGGCCGGTCCGGGAACTTATTCACAAGCACACGTATGTGTCTGGTATCACTACGGATTTTTCAAAGTCGAACCTGCACAAGATTCGAGAAACGTCCCAGCTGGCTGAGCTGGGCCGGGCCGGGCTGGGCTGGGCTGGGCTGGACTAGATTGGACTGGGCTGGACTGGACTAGATTGGGCTGGGCTGGACTCCATTCAGACAAGCCACGAGGTGTCCTTCCTCGCTCTCGACTTCGACCCGCTCGGAAAACGGAAGTCAAATAAGTCACGGCAATCTTTTTGCTCCTGAAACGAGGAGACATATATTTGCATGAATTCCTTGCGGTTGGAAAGAGTTTTCACCGAATAAAGAAAGAGAGACTCCAATCCCTTACCTATCTAAAGATAGGTAAGGGATTGGCGTCCCCTGTCCATTTTCAATTTAAAATATTCGAATAGTTGCTCGATGCCATGCTTTGGAAATATCTATCTGAATCTCCATTGGCATTTGGGAACATGGGAAACTAAGAACAAGGTGAGTCAAAAGTCACTGGACGACTTTAACAGCTACAACTCGGCAAGGAAGGCATACATTTGCAAACTGTTTTTTGCATAGAAAAGTGCGTGCTCTAATTAACATGAATGCGACGCTGAAAAAAAATTCATTTATTTATTTGGGGTAATAATGACTGTAATTACCGGCCATTGAGCATCATCAAGCTCGATCACGCGAACTATCACCTATAGGTAACTTCTCTTAAAAGGTAACTAACATCTTCTCAGGGATGGGTTGCTTCAGTTCACTGATCGTGCGCGAATTTTCGGCATAGATCTAGTCTTTAAGCTTCCTTGTACGACATTTAAATNGGATCGTACAGAAACGTAGCTTTTGTGCTTAGTTCGCTCGTATGAAGGCCGGTCCGGGAACTTATTCACAAGCACACGTATGTGTCTGGTATCACTACGGATTTTTCAAAGTCGAACCTGCACAAGAGCCTGGGCTGAGCTGGGCTGGGCTGGGCTGGGCTGGGCTGGACTCCATTCAGACAAGCCACGAGGTGTCCTTCCTCGCTCTTGACTTCGACCCGCTCGGAAAACGGAAGTCAAATAAGTCACGGCAATAGGAAGTCAAATAAGTCACGGCAATCTTTTTGCTCCTGAAACGAGGAGACATATATTTGCATGAATTCCTTGCGGTTGGGAAAAGTTTTCACCGAATAAAGAAAGAATAAAGAAAATAAGCGTCCCCTGTCCATTTTCAATTTAAAATATTCGAATAGTTGCTCGATGCCATGCTTTGGAAATATCTATCTGAATCTCCATTGGCATTTGGGAACATGGGAAACTAAGAACAAGGTGAGTCAAAAGTCACTGGACGACTTTAACAGCTACAACTCGGCAAGGAAGGCATACATTTGCAAACTGTTTTTTGCATAGAAAAGTGCGTGCTCTAATTAACATGAATGCGACGCTGAAAAAAAATTCATTTATTTATTTGGGGTAATAATGACTGTAATTACCGGCCATTGAGCATCATCAAGCTCGATCACGCGAACTATCACCTATAGGTAACTTCTCTTAAAAGGTAACTAACATCTTCTCAGGGATGGGTTGCTTCAGTTCACTGATCGTGCGCGAATTTTCGGCATAGATCTAGTCTTTAAGCTTCCTTGTACGACATTTAAATGCCCCTGTGTTGCTTCACGGCCGGTATTTAAATGTGAAGTGCAAACACACGCACGCTGTTTTTTGTGGTGAGGATTACCCATGCCCAAGAAATTCCACTATGGAAATGTGACTAAAACTCTGGGACACCCTGTATTTGATCTGATGCTCTGATGTATTCATTGGAGCAGGCGAGGGGGCAGATTAGCCACTGGAAAACTATACAGAAGCACATTTTTATGGAACTTTCAAATGTGATTTCATGAATGAAATACTTTCAGGAAATTGAAAACGACTCCCTCAAACACCTATAAACTGAATACGTACCAAAACAAAAGAAGAGCAAAGCAGTGGGATTCAAAATTGGATGAAATTGCATTAGGAATAGGATCAATGCAAACCTGACACGACCTGCAGCTTTAAAAAGCTCTGAATTGAACAGATAGCAGCATCAGGCATTCCAACTTTGCAAAGGACGATTGTGGAGTGAGGATGCAACTGGGCTCAGTGAAACTAACGCTTGAGTGAAACCAACTTTGGCACATGAGTAGTGTAATCATGGAATGTAAGCATTGGAAAGCTCATAATTACGTGAGAAAATACATTTTCTTACTTTAAAATAAAAGGCAATTTAACTTTTATCAGTTGGCATATTTTTCCATCTCTTTGCAGTTCTCCTGATACTCAATAGTCATACCACTAAATCCCATGGAAGTGATCCCATTGCTCACAGGGGCAATAGAGAACGACAAAGTATTATCTAATAGTGGGGGCAGCAGTTTTTCAGGAAAAAAAAGACAAATGACAATTATTCAAGAGAGTGAGAAAAAAATTTTCATGGATTTAGAAAGTGGTAAAATACTATTCATAATATCCAACACTTTCTAAGAAAAAAAAATCACCAAAAGCATTCCCACATTCAACTAGCTTTTCAATTCAACTAGCAAGGTAAGAAAAGTACTGAATCATCTAGTTAGCACCTTACATATTGATCCTTCCAGGAACCATTCACTGGCTGAGAGTTCTTGAGGGCATCCACACCTCTATCCTTTTCCTCTGAATCTGAAAAAAAGAACCTGGTTAGCTGCCATTTCCTTCCCATACATTTCTTATGAGAAAGCAAAGGATTGCAAGCCAAACTGGATCAAACATGGGGACACTTCAAGGGAAGGAATGCAGATTGGGTCTGAGATGAAGATATCAGGAAGACAAGAATACATCAACTCACAACAACTGAAGTTACAGAAGCACATCCCCCTCTTCTTCCATATGTCTCCATCCCTCTGGGTCAGCCCATATTCCTTCTCTCCCCATGCTTCCCATTGACACAGATCACTAGTGTATTCCTCATCCAAACAAGGGAGAATGCTAGGGTGCGCCATGCCACTCCACAAGAGTCATTTTAAAAAAAAGTCACAATATGAAATTACAGACAAGCATGCAAGGGTAGATGGCAATCCTAAGGATTTATTTTCCCACATAATTCCCCCTGTACCTTAAGACACTTTTCCCATCTGTGTACAAGTTTGTGCATGTTGGTGGCATCAGAGGATGTGGCCTGGCATTGAAGTATGACCTCCCTCAGCTGAGTCTGAGACATGGGGAATTTCTCATGGTATCCCATAATGGTCTGGATAATTAAGTGGCTTGCTCTTTCCCTGCTCCAGTTGATTCAAATACCAAAACTAGCAGATGATCAACCAACAAATGGTCTGGTAATCAAGGTTCCTCTCCTTAGGGAACTGAAACAGGAATCCTGGCTAGGATGGAAATACATGGAGCCTCATAAACTGTTGAAACCCAACAGATGATCATTGAAGTATCTTCTGCTACCTAGGGAAGCAGATTCAAGAGTGTTCACTAAAATAGACATCAACTGGAACCTCACTTGTTTAGTCGGCCAGCAACCCTCCAGCTGATGGTTCTGATTCCTTGAAGTAGGGGCTCTCTGACTCCAAACTTCTCGTTGGAACATACCAAGACTGTTTTGGTCCCAGGCAACCATGTTCAATATCCCTAGAGGTCAGTTGGCTATGAAGTGGATCATACAGGACCAGACTTCGAAAGTAATCCACAAGAAAGGGAACTCATCCATGAGATGAAAAGGAAAGACACTGCCAGTCTCTTGGCACTTGACTGTTCAGTCTTTCCTAGCAGCAACAAAGTTCCAAGCTGAACTAAATTCACTTGGAATGGAAAATACATACATATCCTGGAACTGATATCAGTGTTGAAGCAATATTTTCATTGAATCTCTTTTGGCAGCTAAGATGATGAACAGAACCACCCTCCACTCAAGCTATCATAAACCTTCAGCAAGGCAGCTTGGCCAGGAAAATGAGGTTCTCTTTCCAATCTGAGGACCAGTCTGATGCCAGGTACACCCTTCCCCAACCACCAAGCATCAGTTGCAGTAGAGACATGCATTCAGGGCTGCCCAGAGGTTTCTAGGGGCCTGGGGCAAAACTAAACTTGGGACCCCTTGGGGGCCCCCTTGAGGCCCTTTGGAGGACCCACTTGGGACCACTTGATACGAGGGGCCCAGGGAAGATCGCCCCAATTGCCCCCCCTCTGGGCAGCCCTGCACACATTCCTCATCCCCTTGAAACCACAATTCACAACCATATCGGCATTCTTTCTCTTCCCATATCTCCAGTTGGACCAGCTCACCAAGTGAATCCATGTTCTTTCTCATGAGAACATTCCAGGGGGAATGGTAAGTAGTCTATCAGATCTGGAGAAAATATCATAGTCCATTCCAATAGGATGGACTTGTGGACCTTGAAATGTGGTATTCAAATGGGTGATATTGCCTCTTGATACCACTAAACTGCCTTGATACCTTGGATGAACTATGATCTTTTCCTCATCCCTTCTACCTATATCTTTGGTTCCAGAACATTTTTGAGATATACATGAAATGTTACATTGTGTACTAATTTTATTCTTACACAAGGCAATTACCCCTCCCAGAATATAAATGAACTATTACTGTAAGTGGAACATTACTTTTGAAAGTTAATATGAAATATTTACAGATATTTGAATATAAATCAAAAGATAAAATAGGAAAGCAAATCCAGGTTGTAAAAAGATGCTGCTCAACCTTGGTGGAAAGTGACCTGAGCAAAACTTGGAGCTCATAGATGGCCATTAGGCCAGGCTATGGCCATGTGAAATACTTAAAAAAATCAACTTGCAGTCATCACTCAAAGGAGGAATTTGGATCTGTGCCAGTTCTGTGGTCCTTGCTGTCCTAGATTATTGCAGGAAGTCATGACAAGCGTTCATGATGTCTGGTCAACTCTTGCTTGAAAGAAAAAAATTCCTACTAATTCTCAGACAATGTTCAAGATGACTGAATGAGGGTCAATGTTAGGGAGACATCCAGCAAGTTGCCTTAACATGTGTTGGGGTTGTCACTTTTTTACTTCTTGAATATTGTAAATTCAATGCTATGCTGGTGTCCCCTAAACTCACATTAGTGGGATATGGGTGGGAGAGATGTCTCATCCTCTCTAGCCTGTAACCCACTTTAGATCAATAATCCATCAATTTTGCACACAATGATCAGGACGACTGAAGTGTCTATGGGGGCACACCTACTCTGGATACCTGGCTCATGTTTTTACATGTCACTAGGATGATTTATGTTTTTTTTTCTTTCCAAAATAAATTAACCTAACAATCTAGGACCTATGTGTATGCTACTGGGAGGATTCTACCTTCCATAAACTGGACCATTCCCAATGTGACTCCAGATTTTTTGCTATCAAAGGTAGGTTGTCATGAAAATGCACTTGATGTCAAGCTCAAATAAATCATGAGGAATGGATCTGACTCAATCATTAAAAAAAAACAGACTGATGCAACAGTAACCACCAAAAAGGAAGTGATGCCCCTCTGCTGTGCTGAATATGAGAAATTATTTTCCACCCAGCAAAGGCTCATTGAAGATGAAAATTGCCTTGTAATAGGAAAGGAGATTCTTGGATTTCATTCTGAAAGAGGCATGTTGATAATAGGTGTGACTAGGATGCATTTTTGGGGACACCAGGAATTAGGCACACATGTTGATTGTATGCTTGGAATGTTTTAGTAAGGGTACAAGTATTTATGCACTCTTTTCACTGAGCCTTCTATTCTTGGTTGTCAGATGAAGAGAAAAAGGAAATGTCACTTCGTGACAACAATATCTGAAAGTGCTGATAGGGTTGAAAATGAGTCAACAAAATGAATTTATAACTGTAACAGGAGGGACTGTTATGTAACCAAAGGGAATAAGATCTGATGTCTCAAAGCCCAAGGCAAGCTAGAGTTCTGTTTCTGGATCCTGTCCCATAAACACCTCAGTGAACAGGAGGGAGCTGCTGTTGCAGGTAAGAATGCCTGAAGAAAAGAAAAAGCAATAGCATTATCTATAAAGTGATGGTTTTGCAACAAGAATCCTGTAACTATTGAAAAGAGACTCCAAGAAAAACTTATCAACTCATGGAATGCTGCAAACAAATTGATGCTGAAAGCTGAAAAAAAAAAGCAAGTGCATACTCTTTACCCATTATTAACCAGCCAAAAAAATAAAAACTACCACTATCCAGAGTTAGAATTAATTCAAATTGGTCTTCACCCTTGACAGCAGGCAAACCAATTTCTCTCACTGCTCAGAAGTAATCCAAACCAGATCAGCACTGTATATGCTAAGACAAGTTGCACCCTTTATAGTTGCCTCTTTGTGCACCCTTCTGGTCAATGCTTTTGTGTTTCATATTCATTACTGCATTCCTTTTTATCACTATGTTCTTCACTTCCAATACCTATTTACATCATGTTGACAAAAATATTATGAATATTTTAGAATGCCTCCAAACTATCTCCCAACTCTTTCACTTTTCCAAAAAGCTGGTTGGCTGACCATTACTGATCTTGCCACCTTTGGATCTGCCAAATGCACTTTGAGTAGCCTAAAAACCAGTGCTCCCTATATATCCATAAAATCTTTCATTTTCCTGATCGTGGACACAACACAATACTTGGGTCAGCTGGGAAATTGAGCCTCTCACAAGCCAACTCTAAAGTCTTTCTGTCTTCCTTCTCATATCACAATATTGTACCAACACACATTAGCTCCCATTAACAAAACCCTACAGCAAGAACTTACATTCCCACCATCTGCCATTTCAATGTTCCTCCTAGCAGCCCCAACCTAGAAGTTCCTCATCCCTCTTCATGTTTTGCCTTTTTCATCTTGTCTCCATGTTAGCTTACTTACTTGTTTTTTTGTTCTTTCCAGCCACTCTCCATATGTGTGCATGTTTCCCCACTGTTTATTTTTTATTTCATCATTTTTAGTTTACATTATTGCCTTTCCTTTCAATTCTATCCTTTCTCATTGTATTCATGGTTTTTTTTATTTTGTTCTGCTCATGCAGCCCACCCCCTGTTCCTCCAGATTTCCCAATCCAAAACCTGTTCCTTTGTGCTCCTGTTCCTTTCTAATTCTAAGGTTAAGGATACAAGATCCAACTGGTTTGCAAAGTGTGCTACACATACTATCCTCCACTTTATGATCCATCACAATGAAAATAATAATAATTCACACATATGTTTATCATTTCTTTTTTTCTCCTTTTGCAGATTGTTGGATGTCATTGATTTGCCAACCAAAAAAAAAACTGGTGTTAAAGTTTGTTTCCTGACCAACTGTACTGCCCCATACTTTCAATTTATATCATGTGCAATTTGAGCGACAGGAGAGAAGTAGCTTGGTGGATGTGCCTTTTACCTACTAACTTTAGCACTATTTTAGTCTTAACTGTCTTCAAAGCCTATAAAATAAAACATTCATGAGGAATTTATTATAAAAACTATCCAACGGCATCACACATTCCTTACTATCTGTCAACTACAGAATCCAATAGGCCTATGATGAAAAGGAAGCCACTTTTGAAAGAAACCTGTCCATTCATCTTATTGGACAACACCCAAAGTTAGTAAACTTAGCTTGGGAGTACACATTCCACTTTTGAAAATAATCAGCTGAGTAATCTAACTGTTGACAATGCAAGGAATATTACAGCGCTTTGGAGACGTTTCTGCCTCTCATGGGATACCTACGCTCAAGCAAATGTAAAGTGTAATTCCTTTTTCAAAGCCTAGTGGAAATTCCGGAAAGCATACGCACAGGCTAAAAAAAAAAAAAGGGAGTTCAACACGACGACCACGTGCCCCCCCCCCCCTCTCTCTTCCCGCGTGACGTCATCATCTACCTGCATCCTGATTGGTTCGGAGTAAACGTTCTCTAGAGTCTGCTTCTTTCCTTACAGCCTCACAAATACGGAGTGTCCGAGAATGGTTGCATCGGTTTCAAATCGAATTATTTCAATGGGGGAACATAGAAATATGCGGTTTCCACTAAAATAAATATCAGAGCTGCGAATTTACTCAGTTGCAAAATATCCTTAGTAGTTCGTTAGTTTCCCGCCGTGAGGTGCTCTAAACCGGTTTCCTCTGAGTCGCTCCAAAAGCAGCGATGAGGGTCCTCTGTGCAGCAAGAGGCTAAATGCGTCATATGGTTAGCGTGATTTCGATCCGTTACTCGTGTTCGGACCAGCCACAGCAATCGAGTCAGAATCTCCAAGAAAGTGAAAACATGGGGACTCACATGGCGCGGGATGTTCTAGGTGTCCGAGCAGCAAGGGATGCCAGAGCGGGAATGAGCAAGAGTTTCGAATTGCCAGGTCCTTTTATACCTTGGAAGCCTCGCCTCCAACCGAAAAACCTCCCTTCTCGAGATCCAATCTGCCTTCCGGCCCGTTTCCGTCAGCATTTTTATCTCGTCGTTTATCAATCGGCCTGGAAATCGCGATGTTTCGCTTGTCGTTCCCCCCTCCCCCCCATTTGTCTCTTGTCAAGAAGCATTCCCGCATGAAAATTAGCTCTGACGCTTTGTTACCGAGAAGAGAAACGAGATCATCCTGGCTGCAATACTTTCCATGCGGAGTCCTTAAAGGGGGTTTGCTCGCCCTCTTCGCGTCCATAAAGGTGATTTTCCTTTGGTGGTTTGGTGGTCATGTGTTTGTTTCGCAGTGGAAAAAGAAAACATTGAAATGAAGAACGGATTCTACGGTCTTATGNCTTTGAAAAAGGAATTACACTTTACATTTGCTTGACTGTAGGTATCCCATGAGAGGCAGAAACGTCTCCAAAGCGCTGTAATATTCCTTGCATTGTCAACAGTTAGATTACTCAGCTGGTTATTTTCAAAAGTGGAATGTGTACTCCCAAGCTAAGTTTACTAACTTTGGTTGTTGTCCAATAAGATGAATGGACAGGTTTCTTTCAAAAGTGGCTTCCTTTTCATCATAGGCCTATTGGATTCTGTAGTTGACAGATAGTAAGGAATGTGTGATGCCGTCGGATAGTTTTTATAATAAATTCCTCATGAATGTTTTATTTTATAGGCTTTGAAGACAGTTAAGACTAAAATAGTGCTAAAGTTAGTAGGTACAAGGCACATCCACCGAGCTACTTCTCTCCTGTCGCTCAAATTGCACATGATATAAATTGAAAGTATGGGGCAGTACAGTTGGTCAGGAAACAAACTTTAACACCAGTTTTTTTTTTGGTTGGCAAATCAATGACATCCAACAATCTGCAAAAGGAGAAAAAAAGAAATGATAAACATATGTGTGAATTATTATTATTTTCATTGTGATGGATCATAAAGTGGAGGATAGTATGTGTAGCACACTTTGCAAACCAGTTGGATCTTGTATCCTTAACCTTAGAATTAGAAAGGAACAGGAGCACAAAGGAACAGGTTTTGGATTGGGAAATCTGGAGGAACAGGGGGTGGGCTGCATGAGCAGAACAAAATAAAAAAAAACCATGAATACAATGAGAAAGGATAGAATTGAAAGGAAAGGCAATAATGTAAACTAAAAATGATGAAATAAAAAATAAACAGCAGGAAAGGAGTGGGGAAACATGCACACATATGGAGAGTGGCTGGAAAGAACAAAAAAACAAGTAAGTAAGCTAACATGGAGACAAGATGAAAAAGGCAAAACATGAAGAGGGATGAGGAACTTCTAGGTTGGGGCTGCTAGGAGGAACATTGAAATGGCAGATGGTGGGAATGTAAGTTCTTGCTGTAGGGTTTTGTTAATGGGAGCTAATGTGTGTTGGTACAATATTGTGATATGAGAAGGAAGACAGAAAGACTTTAGAGTTGGCTTGTGAGAGGCTCAATTTCCCAGCTGACCCAAGTATTGTGCTGTGTCCATGATCAGGAAAATGAAAGAGGTTATGGATATATAGGGAGCACTGGTTTTTAGGCTACTCAAAGTGCGTTTGGCAGATCCAAAGGTGGCAAGATCAGTAATGGCCAGCCAACCAGCTTTTTGGAAAAGTGAAAGAGTGGGAGATAGTTTGGAGGCATTCTAAAATATTCATAATATTTTTGTCAACATGATGTAAATAGATATTGGAAGTGAAGAGCATAGTGATAAAAAGGAATGCAGTAATGAATATGAAACACAAAAGCATTGACCAGAAGGGTGCACAAAGATATCTACAAAGGGTACAACTTGTCTTAGCATATACAGTGCTGATCTGGTTTGGATTACTTCTGAGCAGTGAGAGAAATAGGTTTGCCTGCTGTCAAGGGTGAAGACCAAATTGAATTAATTCTAACTCTGGATAGGGGTAGTTTTTATTTTTTTGGCTGGTTAATAATGGGTTAAGAGTATGCACTTGCTTTTTTTTCAGTTTTCAGCATCAATTTGTTTGCAGCATTCCATGAGTTGATAAGTTTTTCTTGGAGTGTCTTTTCAATAGTTACAGGATTCTTGTTGCAAAAACCATCACTTTATAGATAAAGTTATTGCTTTTTCTTTTCTACAGGCATTCTTACCTGCAACAGCGGCTCCCTCCTGTTCACTGAGGTGTTTATGGGACAGGATCCAGAAACAGAACTTGGGCTTTGAAACATCAGATCTTATTGCCTTTGGTTGCATAACGGTCCCTCCTGTTACAGTTATAAATTCATTTTGTTGACTCATTTTCAACCCTATCAACACTTTCAGATATTGTTGTCACAAAGTGACATTTGACAACCAAGAATAGAAGGCTCAGTGAAAAGAGTGCATAAATACTTGTACCCTTACTAAAACATTCCAAGCATACAATCAATATATGTTCCTAATTCCTGGTGTCCCCAAAAATGCCTCCTAGTCACACCTATTATCAACATGCCTCTTTCAGAATGAAATCCAAGAATCTCCTTTCCTATTACAAGGCAATTTTCATCTTCAATGAGCCTTTGCTGGGTGGAAAATAATTTCTCATATTCAGCACAGCAGAGGGGCATCACTTCCTTTTTGGTGGTTACTGTTGCATCAGTCTGTTTTTTTTAATGATTGAGTCAGATCCATTGCTCATTATTTATTTGAGCTTGACATCAAGTGCATTTTCATGACAACCTACCTTTGATAGCAAAAAATCTGGAGTCACATTGGGAATGGTCCAGTTTATGGAAGGTAGAATCCTCCCAGTAGAATACACACAGGTCCTAGATTGTTAGGTTCATTTATTTTGGAAAAAAACTTAAATCATCCTAGTGACAGATGTAAAAACATGAGCCAGAGTAGGTGTGCCCCCATAGATGCTTCAGTCATCCTGACCATTGTGTGCAAAATTGATGGATTATTGATCTAAAGTGGGTTACAGGCTAGAGAGGATGAGACATCTCTCCCACCCATATCCCACTAATGTGAGTTTAGGGGACACCAGCATAGCATTGAATTTACAATATTCAAGAAGTAAAAAAGTGACAACCCCAACACATGTTAAGGCAACTTGCTGGATGTCTCCCTAACATTGACCCTCATTCAGTCATCTTGAACCTTGTCTGAGAATTAGTAGGAATTTTTTTCTTTCAAGCAAGAGTTGACCAGACATCATTAACGCTTGTCATGACTTCCTGCAATAATCTAGGACAGCAAGGACCACAGAACCGGCACAGATCCAAATTCCCTCCTTTGAGTGATGATTGCAAGTTGATTTTTTTAAGTGTTTCACATGGCCATGGCCTGGCTTAATGGCCATCTATGACCTCCAAGTTTTGCTCAGGTCACTCTCCGCCAAGGTTGAGCAGCATCTTTTTACAGCTTGGATTTGCTTTCCTATTTTATCTTTTGATTTATATTCAAATATCTGTAAATATTTCATATTAACTTTCAAAAGTAATGCTCCACTTACAGTAATAGTTCATTTATATTCTGGGAGGGGTAATTGCCTTGTGTAAGAATAAAATTAGTACACAATGTAACATTTCCTGTATATATCTCAAAAATGTTCTGGAACCAAAGATATAGGTTGAAGGGATGAGGAAATAAGATCATAGTTCATCCAAGGTATCAAGGTAGTTTAGTGGTATCAAGAGGCAATAACACCCATTTGAATACCACATATTGAGGTCTAGTCCATCCTATTGGAATGGACTATGATATTTTCTCCAGATCTGATCTGATCTGACTACCTACCAATCCCCCTGGAATGTTCTCATGAGAAAGAACATGGGTTCACTTGGTGAGCTGGTCCAACTGGAGATGTGGGAAGAGAAAGAATGCTGTTATGGTTGTGAATTGTGGTTTCAAGAGGATGAGGAATGTGTGCAGGACTGCCCAGAGGGGAGCAATTGGGGCGATCTGCCCTGGGCCCCTCGTATCAAGGGGTCCCAAGTGGGGCCTCCAAAGGGGTCTCCAGTTTAGTTTTGCCCTGGGCCCCTGGAAACCTCTGGGCAGCCCTGAATGTGTGTCTCTACTGCAACTGATGCTCAGTGATTGGGGAAGGGTGTACCTGGCATCAGACTGCTCCTCAGATTGGAAAGAGAGCCTCATTTTCCTGGCCGAGCTGCCTTGCTGAATGTATATGATAGCTTGAGTGGAGGGTGGTTCTGTTCAACTTAGCTGCTGAAAGAGATTGGATGAAAATATTGCTTCAGCACTGATCCAGGATATGTATGTATTTTCCATTCCGGGTGAATTGAGTTCAGCTTGGAACTTTGTTGTTGTTAGGAAAGACTGAACAGTCAAGTGCCAAGAGACTGGCAGTGTCTTTCCTTTTCATCTCATGGATGAGGTCCCTTTCTTGTGGATTACTTTCGAAGTCTGATCCTGTATGGTCCACTTCATAGCCAACTGACCTTTAGGGATATTGAACATGGTTGCCTGGGACCAAAACAGTCTTGGGATGTTCCAATGAGAAGTTT